TATTATACATACGTACATATGTATATTTCCCCCACTAAATCAACAGCTTTTAGTAAAACCTTTCTATTTTAATTTTTTTTCTCTTTTTATTGAGTTTATTGTTACAATCTAGGTATACAATACAATTACATTCATCATTGGGATCCTGTACCTTTACATAATAGGTTTTGATTCTCATTTTTTCCCCTTGTCCCTGCCCTCCCTTCACCCCTCCTCCCCTCCCCATTTACAAACACTTTATTGCCATTTTTTCAGTTTCTCATTTTTTTCCTCTCCCTTATTACCTTTCCGCCACCTTTCCCACTTTCCCTGCACCTTTAGCCCTTTACTTCCTATTTCACATTATTAATTATCTCATTAGGATCCTGTGTACTATTATAGTTTTTCACACCAGAGAAACTATTCAGTATTTCAGTTAAAGAAATCTCTGTATGAACATTAAAAATAGGGAATCCTAAAATCAAACTAAAAAGGAAAGTAAAAAAGAAAAAGCAATGATGTAAGATTAAAATAATCCCTAATTCTGAAGATCAAAATGGTCCCTTAACATATTTAAATTGTTTCTTGCTCTTGTAGTCTTATCTTATTCTTTTTTTCATTATTTAGAGAATACTTTATTAGTTTCTATAATCAAACCCGTGTAGATATGACTTTACATATTTAGTACAATGCGTTACCCCTGTACACATGGAAAAAAAAATAAAAATAAAAAAAATTAACATTTCTAGACCAATAATGGCTGTCCATTTTGTACAATGCCAACTCAACACAGTAAATTGGGATAAGTTTTTCCAAAGTTGACAGCACCGTTAAAGTTCTATTTTAATTTTTTAAAAGTGAATAAGCAGGTTAAATTATTGGGCAAAGACTAGAGAGGTACACCAAAATGTTAATAGTAATTACTGTTTACTCCAGGTTGCACGATTACAATTTATTTTCTAGTTTATACTTTTCTATTTAAAAAGAGTATGGCTGGATGATAGATTTTGGGGAGTAGGAAGGAAATGTTCAAATGGCAAAGGAAACAAGGGAGGATGGAAGGGGAAAGGAAGGAATTAAAAAAGAACAGAAGAAAAAATGGAAAACAAAGCTATTATAAATAAAGAGGGAAAGAAAAGTTGAAGGGAGAAGAGGAACAGATATATCATGTAGAGTGGCTAGGGATTTAGCTCAGTGGTGGTGCTCCTGCCTAGCAAGTAAAAGGTCCTAAGTTTGACCCTTGGTACTGTCAAAAAAAAAAAATATATATAGATATATATATATATCTATATATATATGTATAGATATATATATCTGTATATCTATATCTATCTATATATATATATATAGATAGATAGATATATATAGTATCAAAAGTGTACTAATAAAATTTAAATGCAAACTCAAAAAGAATGGACATATTTACTGTGAAAGAAATATCAAATATAAAAATATTGAGTTAAAATTGAATTGCTGGTCGTTTTATTTGAAAGAATAATGCTACTTAACAATACAGTTCTTAAAAAGATCACCTTATCAGAAATTTGGACATAAAATCCTCAGTACTGTTCAGTTTTTGTTTCCTTTTCCCTCCCTGTTTCTCCTCACTCTGCTTTCTTTGAAATATAGGCTCCAGGGGGCCATGAGCTGAACTGTGACTTCTGGGAACTCATAGGGTTGGCCCCTGCTGGAGGAGCTGATAACCTGATCAACGAGGAGTCTGACGTCGACGTCCAGCTCAACAACAGGCATATGATGATCCGAGGAGAAAACATGTCCAAAATCCTAAAAGCACGTTCTTTGGTCACCAGGTGCTTCAGAGACCACTTCTTTGATAGGGGTTACTACGAAGTGAGTATGTGTTGTCTTTTACAAATAGTCCCTCTCTTCCGTTTGAAATTTGAAGGGCAGTCTTCACATTGGGCCTTTTTTTTTTTTAAACTCCTTTTTGTATGAACAGGTTACTCCTCCAACATTAGTGCAAACTCAGGTTGAAGGTGGCTCCACACTCTTCAAGCTCGACTATTTTGGAGAAGAGGCATTTTTGACCCAGTCCTCTCAGTTGTACCTGGAGACCTGCCTTCCAGCCCTGGGAGATGTGTTTTGTATTGCACAGTCATACAGGGCAGAACAGTCCAGAACACGAAGGCACCTGGCTGAGTATGAAATTGTCTTTTTATTTTTATTTATTTTCAGAAAATACCTTTAGGGGAGAAAGCTTTATGTAGGTAAATTATATTTTTAAAATTCATACATTACATAATGAAAGTTTGCTTCTTAAGCCATAGCTGAGGTCTGTTTTTCACTTTGCCTTGATTTCTGTGGGTTAAAGAATAAACAAGAAATCACTACTCAAGGAGATAGAGGGGTATCCAGACTTATTTATAGAATTGGTTGGTTAGCAGTGTCGGAATTTTGCCTTTCTGGATAATTTCCTAGGGTACAAATCTTTTCTTGAGAGAAACTTAATGTAAAAGAAGAGCAACTCTGAGTCAGTGTCTTGTTCTTCAGATATACTCATGTGGAAGCAGAGTGCCCTTTCCTAACCTTTGAGGACCTCCTGAACCGGTTGGAGGACTTGGTTTGTGACGTCGTAGATAGAGTCTTAAAGTCACCTGCAGGAAGCATAGTATCTGACCTCAACCCGGTAGGTGTGGTGTTTCATGAAAATTAAAGGATTATAAGCCTTTTCTGGAAGACACTGGAGTCTTAACTGTTTTATCGATTTGAGCTGAAATAAGTGACTAATATTTTGAAGGCTAAAATTTAATATTAGCCATTGCTATTAATTTCATATTTTAACTTAGCTAAGAGGAGATCATATATGTTTGTCATTTGAGGAATGTTTGTACGGTTTCCTACTCTGAAATAACTGTTGTAATAATAAGTGGGTTTTGGTTAATTAATATTTTAAGGTTGGGGGTTTCTTTATATGCTGTGTTTTTCATTTTCTGCATAGAACTTTAAGCCCCCCAAACGGCCTTTCAAAAGGATGAACTACTCAGATGCTATTGTATGGCTAAAAGAACACAATGTAAAGAAAGAAGATGGGACTTTCTATGAATTTGGAGAAGTAATGTATTCCTTTTTCCTTGTTCCAAAGGTGGTAATATGCTTAAGTGGATGGCTTTTTTCTGGATAGTTGGCTAATGTAGAAGGCACCTGCTTCTTGGGGTTGTCAGTTGGTTCATTATACAGTGAGCATTAGCAAGTGCTTAGCCTTCCTTCCTATGTCATTTTTCATCTCATTTCTTACCTTCATGATTGTTCTTTAGCCTAAACTTTTAAACTCTACTCATTCTCCTCTAGGCTGGCAAGGATGCCTTTAAAGTTTGTGAAGCCCTTGAAAGTATATACAAAATATTGGTCTGTGCATTTATTTGTTTTGTTTTTCTGGAAAAACTACCTCATACTTTCAAAAGTGATTCATTCTCCCCAGAATCAGTGATTTAAAACTGGCTGGAAGGAGATTCAAAGAAGATAGCCGTTGAATAAGATAGAAAACTGAGGGAGAAGGCTTTGTTAGGGAATATGACCTGGTACCCAAGATAAACTTAGCATGTTGATCTTGATTTTGCCTGGGAATCACCCTAACGTGTATTGAGAATATGGATTGGCAGCAATATTTCATACCCTCATTCTTTTATATTTAACCATTTTTTAACATAATATTTCCAAGTCCATTTTATAAGTGAAAAGTAGGTAGTTGCTGCTAAATAGAGTTTTGGTTTTTAAAAGACATTTATTGGGAAGACAAATAATATGCTGGATCTCTACGAGTTATTCTGTCTTATAAATTCATATAATAACGTAATTTTGAGCGGAAAACTTGAATAGTATGCTGTGAACTCAGCAAAGTAATTAATATTTGGCAAAGTGGAGAGTGGAAAGAACACACGCTGTGTAGCCGGAATGTCTCCCTCCCCAAGGTGGACTTAGCTCCCACCTCTGTCTGGACCTGTTGTGTAACTGAAGACAAAAGGCTTGTTCTCTTTTGGAAGATGAATCTCTACCTTGGAGGTAACATTTTCTTGGTAAAGTCATGGAGACTACATGAGTTAAATGCCTAGCAGGGCTGTGGCACAGGAAGCCTCAGTGCATGTCAGTAAGCACTGTATATACATGCTATCATCCCATGCACATGAAGGGGCTAGAGAGATAAGTGGTCTATAGACTTGACCTTGTGCAGTAAGGTCCCTCTTCCCATAGTTTAATCTTGTGTAGAACCCCAGTATATTAAGCAGATAAAAGCTAAGAGGCCAGGACTCTCCCATTCATCTCTCATCTCCTCCTGTACCTCAGAGGGCATAGGGACCAGAGGAGAGAACAGCTGTGCCAGCTGATTGCTAAGCTCTTGTTTCAGTTCTTAACATTAAACAAATCAATGGATCTTGTCCAATTCTCTCAATCAGTTTTTACCACCACAAGAGTTTTGGGTTTGAACTTGAATTTATATGTGGTTTATTGAAGAATATTTAGAGAGAGAAACTGAGTCATTTGATTCATCATTATTAACATTTCCTGGCTAACTATTCCAGGTGTGGTTATATTTAAAAACCTGATACTGGTTATTTGTCTTCTGACTATCTTGCTACTGTTGAAGGCATATCTGATTTATTGTAACAGGAAAGAAGTGCGGATAACTGGATTGTAAAGATTTGTGTCATTAATAACATACTTTTATGTGTAGATTGATGATGTTCTGGAGCATTCACTGATTCCTTTCTACTTTATGAGGTTCAGTGGATTATGTTTGCTTTAGAGCTTGATAAAACTGACCACTGAAAAAAATAACTTGGTGGTCAGTTTGGAGATTTTTTGTTTTTTATTTCTTTTCATTCCTCAGGAAGCATGAAGCCTGAGATATACTGGAGAAGGAGGCAGAGCATGTTACAGTTCACTTAACTATAGATTTATTAGATAGTTTTTTTTTTCTCAAAAGAAATTGTTCCTTATATGAGTGTTTATGAACTATGGATTATGGTAGATGCATTCTCTAGCACATTACTTTGATGGGAGGAAGGGCTGGTACAGAGAGAAAGAGCTGCTTCTGTCTTGTACATTTTGAGTCATAAATGTTAATCAAGTCTTGTTTAACCTCAGGATATCCCAGAAGCTCCTGAGAGACTGATGACAGACACCATTAATGAACCAATCTTGCTGTGTCGATTTCCTGTGGAGATCAAGTCCTTTTATATGCAGCGATGTCCTGAGGATCCTCGTCTTACTGAATCAGTCAGTTTATTTAGAGCATTAGAAATTTTGCTTTTTAAAAGAGGGGAGGCTGTCATTTGGAATGAGCTCATGACAAGTATTTCATAATTCTAAAATGTCAATAATTAAAGAAGTAATTTTTTTTTTCACGTCCCCATGATTGAGATTAACATGCTTTGTTAGAAAATTTGAAAAATTGAATTTTGCATGAGCACAGTCTGGATTCCTTTAGCTGTAGGAGCTTAAATTATAATTTTTATTGAAGCCTCACAACAATACTATGTTTGATAGCCTGGTAATTATTATGTATTTTTTTAAACTTATATTCATAGGTCGATGTATTGATGCCCAATGTTGGTGAGATTGTGGGAGGCTCCATGCGTACCTGGGATAGTGAAGAACTCCTGGCAGGTTATAAAAGGGAAGGTATTGATCCTACTCCCTACTACTGGTATACAGATCAGGTAAAAAATATTTTTCAAATTGTCTTTGAACTTTTTCATTGTAATAGTTCTATATACATTGACATTTTTTAGAGGAGAGCATTCCAAGTGGTGCTTTGGTATTTACATGAGTTACAGTTTCATGGTTATAATAATAATACATCTAAATGTTAGTTTTTTTCCTTTAGCCAAGTTATGTGTTAATTTCATTTGAATAGCTCTAACTATTCATTGCTAAATATCATTAGATCCTACTAATACCTAGTACTATCTTTCATTTTCCTGTAATAAATGGAGATACCTAGTACAAAAAATTCCAGGGAAATGTTTCATTCCTGGTTTATTTTTCATACTGAGTTATGTCTTTTCTCTGCAGTACTGGAGATTAAACCCATGGCCTTATACATGCTAGGCAATCACTCCACACCGAGCAACATCCCCAGCTCTTTTTAAAAAATGTTTTCTTTATTTTGAGACAGGATTTTACTTGGTTGCCTAGGCTGGCCATGAACTTTTGATTTTCCTGCCTTAGCCACCGCATAGCTGGGATTACTGGTGTGTGCTACCATGTCCAGTCTGAATTATTTCTTTACACATGGTTCATGAAGGCATATAGATTATGGGTTGAATCCTTAACTACAATGATCTGACTCCTTCCACGGTGGAAAATTTTATTTTGTTAGATAAAATTTTACAAACATTTACTCCTCTCATTCTCTCTCTCTCTCTCTCCCTCTCTCTCTCTCTCTCTGTCTCTTTTTAACAGAGAAAATATGGTACATGTCCTCATGGAGGCTATGGCTTGGGCTTGGAACGATTCCTGACTTGGATTCTGAATAGATACCACATCCGAGATGTGTGCTTGTACCCTCGATTTGTCCAGCGCTGCAAGCCATAGTTGGTTCCGCTGAAGTGTGAAGGGAAGAATACAATTCATGAAAGGAGCAGACTGCCTCTTAAAAAAAAAAAATGACAAAAGGCCCAAATCTTTTTTTTTGTTCTATTAGGGTATAGCTGTTCCTGTTTCTCTCTCTTTTTTTTTTTTTTTAATGCCCACTACCATAAAAAGTAGTACATTTTCCTGGAACATCAAGTGACATTGATGTCATTGGAAGAGAAATTATGTGTTACAGAATTTGGGGAAATATGTGGCACATAACTCAGTAGTTAGAGGTACATTTCAGCATTTTAACCAGTTATAGGGTATAATTGTGTTTAGTATAACATATGCAATTAAGTCATTTTCTGTTACAGTCTGAACCATTCAAGTAACTTAATCTTTCTGTCCTTTTAAATGTAAATGAAGTTTTAAAAATATTTATCATTTTATTGTATTGAAGAGATAAACATCTTGGGGGGAGAAGTTGGCAAATATGGTATAAAAACCTCCTAGTATTTGAGAACAGCTTAGTAGTACATAACTGTCATCTAATGAATACAGCCTTTTGAATCAGTTATTAAATGTGTATAGATGCTTATATGGAAAAATTTGTAGAAGTGGAATTTCCTTAAAATTGGAAATGACCATAATTTGGTGCAGAGGCGTATTTAGAAGATTCACAAATTTCCTCTTTGCATTAGTTTGAAATAAAGAGGTAGACTAAGCTTCCCTCTTTCTTGGTGGTTCTTAAGTTATTAAGAATAAATAAGTTCCAAATGTATTTTCAGGTGGCTGCATGAGTCACCCTGCCATGTCTGTAGATCTGATCTGTGTTACCTTATGAATTCATCGCAGGCTCATTGAATTGCTTTACTCAGATTGGGTTAATTGCTCTCCTGAATGCATGCCGTGTATTCTCCACCGGCTGTATCCCCAGCAATCAATAAATGAACACTAGTAAAACTCTTTGCTGGCTTAATTTTCTCAAAGCTGAACATCTCTGTCTCACATTAGTTTATCCCTTACATGTTTTTTTTTAAATCTTTTTACTTTTCATGATGTGTATATGTAAAATTAGATATTAACTAAATTCAGCAGATATTACAAATGATGCATGGTAATAAAAGAATGATTTTTAAAAATTAGATATTTGGGTCCTAGCTACTGCATTTTTGTATTTTTATTTTTTTAACACATTAGATTTTATCCTGTTTTGCAATTACATGAGATGACAGATGGAAATGGGGTATTTGTAGCCTATTTGGCTTGTATCTTTAAATAAAAAATACTTGGAAGAATTTGCATGAACTCTGCTTGGCTTCAACTAGGCAGTTCATTTGATCAGAATTAAGTGAAGAGGTGGACCAGGGATTTAGCTCAGTGGCACCACACCTGCCCTGCAAGCATAAGGTCATGAGTTCAATCTCCGGTACTGCAGAAAAACAAACAAAAAAGTTAAGGAGGCTAGACTCGTTAAGCTAAACTTTGTCATCTAACTGGGTTGAGGATTATAAAATACTACAGGAGAGTCAGGATTAAGCAGGATAAGGAATTTGAGGTTATAGTCTCCTTAGGCCAAGAAATAGCATGGTGAGCAGCAGACTTACATACAGGGACTTCATTTCTTTTCACTGTGTGGTGGTTCTGCTCTGAATTCCACAAATGCGATGCTTTTTCCCTGCCAAAGACCAGCTTACGGACTCCTCTGCTTCTGACTTTGGCACTTGTAGGACTCTCATCCCTGAACTCTCATGTCATGACCCTTACTGAAACCTCCCGATACATTGAAAACCCCCTTTCACTTTTAGCCCTTGTGTGGTAGAGCACCTCGGAGTTGGGAGACAAGTCAGAGGCTGGTATCAGAACAACTCAAATAACAAATGGTACCAAACAAATTTCAGATGTTCAAAACTTTATTATAAAATAGTCTTTGTTAGATGATTCACTAATGTAAGTGTTCTGAGCATGTTTTAAGGTGTGCTAGGCTGAGCTGTGGTTCCTGGTAGGTTATATCTATTAAATGCATTTTTGACATAAGATATTTTCAACTTGCAGGTTTGTGGGGATGTAATCCCATTTTACATTAAGGAGCATCTCAACTTAAATATCAACTTTCCCTCTTAAATGTCCTTCTGCCATTTCTAGTAGCGCAGCTTTCCTCCTTTTTCCTACCTTATTACCAGTTTGTTTAGCTCCTCACCTTGTTTCTAACAATTTTTAAAAATGTCTACTACATAGAGTAGTTGAATTCTATCACAAGCAAACTTGGCTGCACACTGGGATCACTGGGGAACCTTATAAAAAATGGTGTCGAAGCCTTACCCCAGATCAGCCGAATCTGAGTTTCGGAGATGGGGTTAGGGGGTTTCTTTAGTGCTGCCCTGGGAAGGCTATATATAGTAGAGAGGTTGACAGTAGGTGGCTCTCTTGTAAGCACAGCCTTAAGCCTCCCTTACTACTGTAGGTTCTTTATGACTTTATGTTAAATGGAACATTGGAGTGAGGCCACGAAACTCCAAAGCTTACATTATTTTAAGTCGCCTTACATTCAGTATTATTTCATTCAGCTCTTTAGGAAGAAAGAAGGGATATCATGATGTTTGAATAGTGTAATTCATAGCATTTGGCAATCACTATTGGATTAAATGACTCAGTTCTAAGGTTAAAAAGTTTCCTTTTACTGTGGGTTGTTCTTGCATGATTAACTAAAGGACATTTTTTAAAGAGATAAATTTGATCAGAATTTAAGTGAAGAGGGCTCAAAGACTAACTTGTAGAGTCAATTTTGTGTCTGAGGTACATTATTAGCACACCAGCTCAGAGCAATGGAGGTGTTCAAAAGTTTTAGTTTATTCTTTAGGTATTTACTTCTGTTCATATTACTGAATGTGTTACTTTATTGATTTTTTAGTTTTAGACATTATTTACTGCTCTTTTGCAGAAGATAAAGATTTCACTTCTTTCTCTGTCCTCAACTGCTCATGTGTTTCTGTCTACCTCCCCATCTTTCCAACTTTGTTATGTTGTAATTTTGGTTGGCTGTAAACTATAATTGCTTTTCCTTTTTTGCTCAGCTTTTAATTTTCCTTGTACTTAGTAGCTGTCTGAGTTTTTTCTTTATTGTTAATTCAGTCCCCAAAGTGGACAGGCATATCAGAGTCTTTCAGTAACATCATCCCATAGCTTGCTTCTGTCTGAACTAGTTGCCCTCTGTCCTTGAACATAGGTGTAGTCCTGCGATCTTCTGTCACTGTCCTCTGTAGTATTCCCTTTGCCCTTCTCCTCTAGTGGACATCTTAGTTTGTTTATCCCACATTTACTGTTTCTTGTTTATAATTGTTCTTGAGCATCCTCTTGTAGTTTGCAGAGAAAGGATTCATGGAAGTTAAAGGCACTAAAACTTGGCCCTTCTAAAGTCTAAATGTTTTTCATCTGTTGTCAAACTTAAATCATCTGTGTATAGAATTGTGGGTTATAAAGCATTTTCTCGAGAATTTTGAAGTCTGGCTTCCAATGTTGCTTTTGAGGATCCCTGAGCATTTTAATGTCTATTGTTTTACATATGGCCTTTCTTTTCTAGAAGCTTGTCCCAGTGATCCAAAATTTCATGACAATATTTCTTAGTAGTAGTTACCCATCTATCCTGATGGGTGGTTCATAGGTGCTTGTAGTTCAAAAAGTCATACATTTCAGTTATGAAGAAGTTTCGTAAACTTTAAAGGTCCCCCCACTATTTTGTTTTCTTTATACAACTTGTTATTCAGATAGTAAACCTCTTTAATTTCTTCTTTATTTTTTCCCTCAATTCTCCAGTTTTTCTTTTGTGCTTTTCTTTAGCCATAGCAAAAAGTTTATTTTAAAAATTCTTATTCTGGTGTCAGAAAATTTTATCTTTAAAGTTTCCAGTCTAAGTTTTCTTCTTTCCATCATCCAGTTTCCTCTGTGTTGGTTTTCTTTGGTTTGTTTGCATCTGTTTCCTGAGACTTTTCTCAAATGTCAGATAATGCTGAGTGATCTCTTGATAATTCAGGAGACTGCAGTGTTCATTGGCTGCTCTGAGCGTATGGTAGGAGATGTGATTGTCAGTATTTTTAGGTCATTCTTGTTGGGTTGGGTGGGCTTCTTGTGAAACCCTTCTGGGAAAAAGGAGCAGGCTGGATTTTTGCTCTAGGAAGTATAAAAAGTTCATTACCTTTTGCAGTTTTTAATATGTTCCTGCTCTTAGCTATGCCTGGGATCTGTAGTCTAGAGCTTTCTGCCAAATCTCTAGGAACTGAACCTCTAGTTAGGATGGAATAGGGGAGCTGCCATCCCAACTCAAGGGCAGGAATCTTAGTACCTTTGACAGCTGCTTTAATAGACTAAGTCTGTTTATTCTGGCATCTTCTTTTCATCTCCACTTCTGGAGGTCTTTGTTGCTGCCTATCCTGAGACATCTAGGGATTCTCTTGTCTAGAAACATCTAGGGATGGTTCTTCTCTTAAAATGGCCAGCTTAAGAGTCAGTTTTCTTAGGTCTGCTGAATCATTAAGCATTTATTCATCTACATTCCAGCTTGTAAAATACTGTTGCTATGGTTTCCTTTTCTTCATCTTTTAAGGTTTGTGCTTAAAAACAAAAAGCACTACCATCATACTTCTGTTGGTATCCCAATAGGGTTTTGGGAGAGAGTAGAACTACATCCATGAGCTCAAGCCCCCTCATTACCCAGAGGTCATTATATTTGAGGACAAGTCAGAAGGTATCGGTCATAAGCAAAGCAGAAGAAACATTTAACTAGCTGTTAGGAAGGACAGATTATTCTTTATAAGCAGGAAAAGGAAAGCAGTGTGTAACTTACAAAGTTAGAAGTGACATTTAAGTTTGGGGCATGGAAACAGGAAGATAGCTGTTATTCTTCAGCTACCACTGTTAAAAAAAATTCCTTAGTGTATTGAAATTCAGCTCTGAATCTGAATTCATAGTTGTCTGACTTGCTGATAGTAGTTCCTACAAACCCATGACGCCCAGGGATACATGGGTGAATGGTTGGAACTCAGGGCTCCCTGACTCTGCTAGTTGCCACTTCTGTTTTGAAATGCAGCCTGAAG